AACCGGTGTTGCGGCTTAACACCGGTATCACCGTCAGCACCGTCTATCGCGGCAAGCCTACTTTACACATACTTTTCCCTTTTTTTGAGTTCAGCTTTATAATATAAGACTTTATAAATAAAACTGACAGAAATAAACAAGTTACTAATTTTTTTTCTCCATGTTTAACTTCAATATTCAATAATTTCTTTATAATAAACCAAGTTAAAAAAAAAAAAAAACTTTTTCTATTAGGGAGCCTGTAGATCTGTTGGTACCATTATCAAGTGTTCAGGATATTAATGCTTTTCAGTATTTGACCCAGGGATCAAATTTGACCTAGGCGGATGCGATTTAATAGGACATTCGGTGGGTTAAATATTGTATAAGAAAGACATTTTAGCTTGGGTTGTTTAGAGACAGAGAGCCTCGCTGTTTGTGTTTGTATGTCTGAGCATGCTGCGGTAGAATGACTTTTAGATTACAACATCCCAGAGAGCAGCTCTTTATCTCCTTATGTAATGCAGTACCACTGCGGTGCTGTGTGTGTTTTTTTTCATGCGTGTGTATATGGGTGTGTGTGCAAGCTCAAGGAAGGGTTGGTTGACTGGACAGGTGGTGTGAGCAAAAACAGGTGAAACAATAATGTACAGTATGTGGAAAATAATGTGTTTTTTTAACCTTAAACCGCATAAACACATTGCATTACACCAAATACACAAAATAATGTTATTTTTAGCAACATCATATGACCCCTTTAATAATGTGTTGTCATATCAACAGCTATTTAATAATTAACTCTCCTTTTGATTAAAACTTAAGTTTGTTTGATTGATGCTTTATCATGCCTTGTGTTGATTGTGTTGATTGGCTCAAATGGCTCCAGTATCAACAACTGCTTTCCTATTGGTTTAAATGTTGCTATAGCAACACCTTTGCTATGATTGGCTTTCGATTAAAAGTGAAAAGCACAGCAGGTGTTGCCTTCCCAGCATCACTCAGCTTGATGGAAAGTGAAAGATATGGGTGATTATGTCAAGACATCACCAGTTTCTAGAAAGTTGCTGGTTTCTCTTTATTGCTGTAGCTTCTCTTTGACCTCAGCGTAACCTCATGTAGTAAAGTAATACTTTTAATGAAGTATTGACTGCTTCGCACCTATAAGGATATAAATCTATTCATGCAATTACACTGATGTTTTGTGTGTGTATTGACGGAGGTCTCGTTGTTATTTCAGAGCCCATCGTGAGGAATGGCCGGCCGCCCTCCTCCCACAGCATGCACTCGTTTTTGCACCAGTACACGGGCTCCTTTAAGAAGCCTCCCCTGCGCAGGCCACACAGTGTCATCGGGGGCAGTCTGGGGTCCTTCATGGCCATGCCTCGAAACGGCAGCCGTCTCGGTGAGTGGCCAATCATAACACATTTGCAGGCTGTTTCGAAGAGCCTTCATTTAAAGTCCTATTCAGAAGTATTCAGCATTAAACATGATTCTTTAAAAAGACTAAATTCATCATGCATATCTTTGGACTGTTCAATATAATGTGCAGCAATAATCCATTGCATTGGACTTGACAAAACAACAAAAATTGGATATGAATTGTAGTAATATTCAAACATTTTAATAATTGTAATATAATTTCATTTCTTATTTTAATTTAACAGTTATTACACAATTTTAGTAATTTTAGAGAGTTATTACAGGATCTTAATCATTTTAATAAAAATATTTTTTTAGAATTACATTAATTAGAATTACATTTAATATTTGCTAATATAATAATTAAAAAAAAACATTTTTTATATTAATAAACTTTTAATGTTTAATTTTTCGGGATTAACAACAATTATTTTGTTATTATTGTTAATGTTAATGTTAATAATTTTAGTAAAATAGTATTTAATTAGAATTGAGTTACATTTCATTGATTTTAATATTAATATAATCTTTACATGTGTAATTTATTCATAATTAATATTGTTATTATTATTGTTATTGTTATTTTTTTGAGTAGCATTTTATTTTTAAAATTAGAATTTAATTGTTTATTATTTTTATTTTAATATACAATTTAATGTTTCAGTTTTTTAAGGATTAATAAAGTAAGTTTAGTAGATAGAAAGTAAATAGTTACTGCAGAATGTTGTTCGTTTTAATACAGTTGTAATTTCCTAATTAGAATTTAATTAAATTCAGTTAATATCTTTATTTTAAGTAAACCTTTTCACCCTTTCAAAACCTTTTTAGGATTACTTTTATTATTATAATTATTTATATATTTTTAATTCAAGACTATTTTTTAAAGAAAATAAAGAAATATTGAAATAAAGAGAAATATTAATATTATACTTCGATGTCATTTAGTTTTGTTGACTTTTTAAAATAAAAAGTCTTTGTAATTATGTATTAGTATTAATGTTTTCAATATTTGGCTCAATCCTTTGGGTTGGTTAATGATGGATCATTTTTAGGGAGCGTGGTGTGGATGAAGCATACCTGACGCTTGTGAATGACTCAAGTCGCACTCACCCACAACCAATCCCAAAGACCACGCCCACTTTCCCTTCATTGGCTATTTCAGTTTGAGTGCCAGCAAGCAGTTCTTCTCTCTAAAAGTGTTTAGTTATATTAAAGGATCAGTCATGAGTCAAAAATTCAGCTCTGCAAAATCTTGCTATGCGATGAATGTGAGCCACTCAACCTTATCTCCCTGTCGTCATGGGAGCAGTCATGTCTAACCCCGGTGTGCATGCGTGCAACTGCGCGAGTGGGCGTTCACTCACACACTGACAGGAAGTGAGTCAGGAGAAGGTTAGTGGGAGGCGATCGAACAAGAAGTGTGTGTCACAGTTGAATGGTTCCGTCCGGCTTCTCTCAGAGTGTGTTTGTGTGGTGCTTCATATACATGAGGTTATTATTTACCAGCATCTCAGACACAAGTCCAGATGTGTCCGGCCCCCATTCCCATATTCTTATCCTTTAACAGTGATGTCAGCGAGCGGCTGTTTGTTTATTTGCCACCGATTGTGGAATTTGTAAGCTGTGATGTAAATGCATTCGGTGATCATCTTGAGTTTCCTCGAATAGGACGCATTCCAAGTCAAAGACAGTCTGGAGTTTATTAGAGTCTGACCCACTTTCGTTCTTGCAGGATTTTTCCGTGCCACACTTTTTTTTTTTTTTGTGAAAAGTAGAACACTGTGCATTCTAGACTTTCACATCATTAGTGTGTAAAAGACGGCCGGAGGAGAGCAGAAGTCGGAGCAATGGGGTGAGGCAGACAGATGACACACGTCAAAATTGTCTCGGGCTTGACGGAATGAAAGAGCACAGCGCTTCTGATGTTGAGAGGAGGAGGTGGAAGGAGATGAAAGGCAGGAAAGGGAGAGTGAACAGATGGAAATGGCGTGATTTGACAGAGTGACTCGTTACCTCACAGTATGTCGGATTTAAAAAAAAAGAGGGCACATTACCTGCGACTGCACACGCTTTCACACTTCCACACACACACATCATCTCGCTGTTTCAAAGACTTCATTGGTGTAACGGGATGCAGAAATGAGGCCACAGCGGTTACTAGTCATGAAACTGGATCTCTCCTCATGTCTCTCTAATAAGAAATGTCCAGGTCATGTTTCACCCCAAAGTCAAAATATAAAAGAAATACCAAGAAATTATATTCTGCATAAACCATGATGGCTAAGATTTTTTGCACTGACATTATTTCTATTAATTCCCCCAAATTATTTTATTTAATATATTCTATTCTATTCTATTCTATTCTATTCTCATTATCAAAAAGCCAAACAGAGGACTGGTATCTTGGCTTAAAAAAAAAGTCCCAAAATACTCAAAAATGAAATTTATTAAATCCAGTTTTTTATTTATTTATTTTATTTTTTCAAGACAATTAAGGACATTTCCCCCAAAGTTAGTCAAAAGATTATTTAATTAAATCCAATTATTTATTTTATTGGGCAACAAATGCATGTCCAGAGAGTAGCTGCCTTTGTCATGATCAACTGCTTTAATTTTTTTTTTAATTTGGGCACATTTTCTAAAAAAAATATATACTTTTTATTAAATTCTTATTACCAATTATTTTTATTTTGATATACTTTTTTATTAAATTCTTATTACCAATTATTTTTATTTTATTTAGAATATATTAATACATAAATGCTGCCTTAAAGGGGTCATATGATGCTTTTTTAAAGATCATTATTTTGTGTATTGGGTGTAACAGAATATGTTGACTTTTTTTGCCCACATTTCAGTAATGATAGTAATGAGGATAATGTGCTTCATTGTTTTTGCTTAATTTTTATGCAAAATACATTTATTCACCAAAGATTCACTTCTCTCCCTCTGGTCTGAAGATATCAGAGCGGACAGACAGCAGACAGCTGTGCCGTAATGGATGGCCCTCAGGTTAGGTACTTTTTACTGCCTCGGCCAGATAAAAGAGCGGGCCGATATGTCACCCTTGGGGGACTCCTCCTTATGAGGTGAGGGAGGAGGGGGCCGTACAGCAGCAAACAGCCTGCCATAAAACTACAGAGCCACGACCACACCTTTAGACTCTTTTTCTAGTTCACAGCACTCTTTTATGTGGGAATATAATCTCTTTTCTTCCGGAACAGCTTTTATTTTCCATTGCTTTTCGGCCGCCCCTTTTCCAAGTACTAAAAGACTGCGCGTACATGCACATGTACATGAACACGTGTTGACTGGACGGGACTCTTAATTCCCGGCCGCTGGTTTTCAATTGGTGAATGTGCATGTGGTTTTTAAACCCTGATTACATCATGATTTGGCCCATAGGCCAGCTCCGATAAGCCGGATCATACTTTTATGTAATAGAGAAGAGTTGAGGACATAGTTCACACACAAGTGCTGTATAAACAAAAAGCACATGGGAAAGTGCATATCCCTTCACACCTTTCTTGTTTTCGGTGTAATCCATGTGCCTTTCTCAGGAATCGTGGTTTAGGTGAATTTGAACAGAAGGTGGTGTGTCAGTGTCATGCTTGACTGGTTTTCATGAATATCAAGAACTGCGGGAAAATTATTAACAGACGTTCTGCTTGATGTGCTGTGCGTATGTCGCTTTATGTACACAGGTATGAGTGTGTGTGTGTGTGTGTGTGTGTGTGTTTTTAAAGGGAAGAGGATGAATAAGGTCTTTCACTGAAATCAAATGCTGCTTTTACAGCACACACACATTAGACTGAATCCCGAATCACTATCTATCCTACATAGTCAGATTAGTGTGTCCCAAACCATAGTATATTAAAATAGTATTTCAGATGTACTTTTTAACTGATTTTAACCATAAGATAATGTAATAGTAATGTCCTTAAAGTGCATCTTAGGCCTAAATTTAGTCAACATTTGCCTTTTTTGATGGCTGTTTTGTGTTTAAACTCTTTGTATTTTAAAATGTAATCAAAATAAAAATTTGGATTAAGAAAACAATTGGTAAATGCTTTCTTATAGTAAGTTACTTGTTTTTAAAAGTTATGATATTTTGATTTTACAGACTTTTTTCCCATTTAAATAAAATTTCCACCTTGAATTAAACTATTTAAAAATTACATATCCATTTAAAATATTAAATGTGTTTTTATTTATTTGTCAAATTGTAAAGTAAAATTTTTTTTATTTAAATTATTTTTTATAATTTTAAATATGATCATAATAATAATGACACTCATATAAATTGAATTAAGTCCAATTTTTATCTTATTTTATCAAATTCTCATTAGCAATTGAAAAGCCACATAGAGGACTTGTACCTTAGTTTAAAAAATGTCCAAAAATAAATTTTATTTAATCCAAATATTCTATTTTATTTTTTTCAGAATAAATTAAATTCAGTATAAAAGATGTAATGAAAAAATATGATCAAACGTGCATTCTTTTATTGCGTATTAGTGTAAGTATATTGGGAACTATTGTAAGTATTGGGATTCAGCTATGTACGAGTATATGCGCTAATAAAACCTCCCAGAAACCCTTTCCATAGCTCATCCGTTAGAGCAGAAGCGTCTCGCACCACATATATCACACATTTTCATTTTCTAACCTCCTCTTCCTCTCTCGCAGACATTGTTCATGAGAATCTGAAGATGGGTTCGGATGGAGAGAGCGATCAGGCCTCAGGGACGTCCTCGGACGAAGTGCAATCGCCCACCGGCGTGTGTCTCCGCACCAGAAATCATCGGCGCATATCCATGGAGGTAAGACAGACCGCGTGTGGCCATAAATTAATCAGCAGCACAAACCTGCCACACGCTCACTTATTCACAGGAGGAGGCAGAAAGCGTGCGCGTGTTACCCTGAAAGCTTCAGATTGGGTGATGTGTCACTACTGAGAGCTTTATTTTTGGCTTTGGGTAGGTGGAGGGATTCCTCTGGTGTGTTTTCTTTCTCATCCTTTCCTGTTTTCTCCCTTGTCCTGTTAGTCGGCTTTTCTCTTCCCTTTCCCCCTTGCTGAGATGATCTTAAGAAATTTTGAGGTTTTGTGGGCAGGTGCAGATGTTATAAGAGGAACTGCAGTTCGAGGACTCTCAGGTGTTAAACGTCAAGTTTTGAAGATTTTAGATCTTTGACTAGTTTTTGTCTTAACCAACCACAACAAATAACAGAACATTTTGTAAATCAAAGCCGTTTCTTTTTTGTCAATACGATTTGGTTTCTATGTCTAGGCTAACAGAATACGTAGTCCCGCCCATTGTGAATTCTCATTTGTCCAAAATCCCACTCCTTATAACTATGTATTAAACATCAAATATGTCCTGACTGGCTGTGATTATGATGCGTCATGTGGCTTTTTCGTTTCCTGTGAGTACAGAAAAATCACTGTAAACAGGCGTCGCATTTGGTTCGTACTGTATCAGACGGTGATTTTCAAATCATATACATCCGTGTCTGTCTGTCGAGGTTGGGCTGCTGTTTGATATCAATAACTGGCTTTCTGTCTTACCACACACAAGGATCTGAAAGGAATGGATTTGGTCTTTTTTTTTTTCTCGCTCCTTCCATTTCCACTTTCTATTCTTCTCTCTGCAGTACATTGTTAAAAAGAGGGTTTGATTAACACTGTTAGAGGATTTTGAAATAGAAAAACTACTTTTTTTTAATCAGAATTAACCTGAATACATCAAGACATTCACGTCACACTCTTGCTACATAAAGCATTTAAAGCTTCTTATTCTGGGGTTTTAATTGCAAACCTCAGTCCAAACTAGTTATTTGGCCATGTGTTCCTCTCTCTTTCTGTCTTTGGTGCTCTTTTGCCTCCTGCTGTATGAATTGGGTTACTGCAGCTACATGCACAGTTTAAAAGCCAATAGATATGTAGATATCACTTAACAATGTATAGGTGAATCTCATGAAGAGGTGTCAGGTCACATTCTACTTTTTAAAAATTAAGAGGGGAAGAAAAAAAGAATTTTGTTGGATATAGTCTGCTGTTATGATTTTGTGACATTTGCCAATTATTTTCAGGCCATTTAGTTTTAGTTTTACCACCAAAATCTCCTTACTGTAACATGTAATAACTATATAATATCCATATATATAAAAAAAAAAATATATATATATATATATATATAAATAATGTATATTATAATTAAATTTATAAATAAATAATATTAAATAATAAAATAATTTATCCATTTGAAGTTTGTCATTATAGTATTTGTTATACTCCTTTTGATTGGTTTAAAAAATTTAACTTTAAATAAAAAAATAAATAAAGTATTTTAATTACCAAGGCTTAGATATAGTGTTTGTTGTAATAATGCATAATTTACTAAGTTTAACGTTTTTAAAATTCTTTATTTACTTTTTATTATTATTATTTATTTATTTGTTGTTTTTTATTGTTATTTCCGTCTCAATACTCTGTCATGCATTTGAGTGTTTAACTTTTTTTGTAGTTTTCATTATTCTCAAATTCATTGATTCTCATTAGATTCTCATTGCTGTGACAGTTATGAAAATCATCTTGTCTAAACACTTTAAAAAGTGGCACAAATTCTTTTATTTTGCATTAAAGTGATGAGAATTGCGTGGGTAAATGTGCTTAATTTAAGATTAATGTGCTCATTTGAATGTTATTAAAAATGTCATGATGCAAAATACAATTAGTTTTTCTTTTGATTTTGGGGTGAAGTGATTCACTCCTCATTCAGCCTGTACTTGTACACAAGTATTGGACTGATGTGCTGCCCAATGAGATTATATCATGCTGCGAGCGTCTTTAAAAGTAGCCTGTGGGTGGAGAAAAAAGCCATGAGAGAGAGAGAGATGTAAATGCAGGAGATTCAAAGCATGATGGAGGGTTATTTATGGAAGATGCTAATGCTCTGGTTTGAGAACGGCTTTATGAAGTCACGCTATCTTATTTAAAACAAGCACACACGCATTGCTCTCAGACGAGACACACCAAATGAATAGTCACCAAGCATCAATTATTAATCTGATTCCTACTTTGATAAGAACTGAGCTAATTTTGTCCCTCGCGACTGACTTGTTTGCATATGTGTGTGTGATTTGATTCTCAGGACCTGAATAAACGCTTGTCTTTGCCTGCTGATATCCGGATTCCTGACGGTTACCTGGAAAAGCTGCAGCTGAGCAGCCCGCCGTTTGACCAACCCCTCAGCCGACGGTCACGTAGAGCCTCGCTGGTGAGTTTGCGTGAATAAACCCTTAAAAGGCCCTTTTACGACATTAAAAGGTAGTTTACCTTCTAATGCCATCATATTTGTCCCATACTAGTCTTAATTATGTGTTTGTGTTTTCTATAAACCACATAATCATGACGCACCTCCTCACTGAACTAGCATTTTATCTCAGATGTAAATAAATCACGTTTCATAATATGCCGTGCGTCTCTTTGTTTGAGCATGATGGGATATCTACCTAGCAACCATGCAGCATAGCAACACGACTCGACATTAAGTTTCTCTTTTGACATCAATGGCTGTGGGATCATGGTGTTCAAGATGAATAAATCCCACATTGTGTTTGAAACAATAAGGTTTATGTAGATTATTCAATCTGGCAGAGTTAAAACTATGACACGGCTGTCAAACAGCAAGCCATTGTCACTCTGAATTAGATATTATACTATGTATATTATCGTTCAAAAGTTTGCAGTCAGTAATAATACTTTTAATTTGCAAAATATGCATTAAATTGATCAAAAGTGACAGGGAAAACATTTATAATGTTACAAAAGATTTCTATTTCAATTAAAAGCTTAAAAGTTCATCAAAGAATTATAGTTTTTGCAAAAATATTAACCAGCAGCACAACTGATTTCAACATTGATAATTAGAAATGTTTCTTGAGCAGCAAATCAACATATCTGAATGAAGACTGGAGTAATGATGCTGAATATTCAGCTTTGACATCACACAAATAAAATGTTTTAAAGTCTATTAAAATAGAAAATCTTACATTTAAATTGTAATAATATTTTATAATATTACTGTTTTTACTTTTTCTAAAACATTTAAATAAATGAAATAACAGTCCACAAACTTTTGAACCATAATGTATTTTACAATCAATTGCTGTCTGTGAAATGCATAATAGTGTGTTTTATATCTATTTAAAGGATGGGTCATTTGAAAATATCTGAATTTAATCACCCTCATTTTGTACCAAATCCATTTGACTTTTTTTTTGCACATGTCTAAGATGTTTTTAATCATCAATGCAATGAAATCATACAATATCCACGGTTGGTCAAACGCCAGTGTTGCTAATATATGTTAATCAAAGCTTGTAATGCTTTTGTATACAAGCATTTTTCTGCCAAACGGACATGGTTGAATCTCTTTGATTGCATCCGTGTCATATTACACCACAAAATTTAAAGATTAAAAAAATTGTAAAAAAAAAAAAAAGTTTAAAAATAACATTTGCAATTTGTGCAAATTTCCACAAATTGTCCAAACGGCTTTTGCACTATATTATAAGTTTTCAGAAGCTGTGCAATGACTTTGTGGGTCACGATTGGTTACAAAATGTGATCTAATCGAATTAGATTTGAGAAGTACAGAGAATAGCTCGCACAAAACTATCATATTAAGACTTATGTGAGAATCGAAATAGTGCACAAGCCTCACAGGCTACTTTTAAAGTGCTTTTTTGCAGGTTGAAAACTCATGGTACGTACTTTATTGTATGCAAAGAACAATTTTGAAGACCTTTTGAGCTCCATGATTAAAAGAAATGGGTTATTATGTTAGATTATGTCTGAAGAATATTCAGCTCTAGTTAATGAGTCCACAGCAAGCTTTTCAAAATAACATGGACTGCTGCAGATAAACCCGGCCCGTGGACGAGAAACCTAGTGTGTCGCACTCTCAGTGGAGCACAAAGACACATACCATGTTCTTTGTCTGTTGGGCGCATACGTAGAGGGTTTTGCATGTGAAAAGCCCCCTGCTTTTGCGTCTGGGTTTCTTGGCATCCATTGTTCTTAGCTGTCATCCGTCTATGTCGTCCCCACCTCCAACCCTCAATGTGTGTGTAAAGGAGAGGGGGTTTATGTTGGCATTCTGGTGCCCCCTGGTGTCCATGGGAGTCTGAATACTGTGTGTGATTAATGGCTTTGTCTGGGAAATAATTTTGGCTGCCGATATCAGAGACAGCGAGCAACACTCCAGACACGTGTTTTTCACTGATAAGGTCTGTTGAACACATGCAGGCCTGTTCAGCATTAACCAGATTGCATTAATGAAGCAATCTCTCTCCTTCTCTCTTTTTATAGTCAGAAATCGGCTTTGGGAAACTGGAGACCTACATCAAACTGGACAAGTTGGGAGAGGTACGATGAGTCTAGTTCTGACATTTCATCATTGTTTTGCCCTGTCAGAAAAGCGCGTTTAATAGTGATTAATGATTCGGTGGATGATACAACAGAAGTCTTGGACTTGCACATCACACAGAAGTTTTCATTAACTGATAGCATTATAGGAATACTCTGTTTGCAGGTGTTTCTGCCACTGTGTTTAACTGTAACTGAACATGTTCAATAATAAGGGGGTTATTGAGATGATCTTGGTCATTGATGGCAGTCTGCTGATCATTTGACTGTACATAAGATATTTTTCAAAGTATTATTGGGTGTTTTTTAGATGTAATATTTATTTTACTTATTTAGTTATTTTTTATAAAAAAAAAAGTTTGATACTTGTCAGCAAATAATTAATCCATTAACTACATCTCTAGTGTAAAACTTGTGTGATTTAGTGCTGTCAAATCGATTAATCGTGATAAATCACATCCAAAATAAAAGTTTGTGTTTAAGAAATATATGTAATATATATTTATATCATATATATTTATATTATAAATATAAATATACACACTACACACACATATATTATGTCAACACAAACTTTTATTTTTGATGCGATTAATCGCGATTAATCGATTTAACAGCACTAAATCAGACAAATTATTTTTCCAAGTACTATTTGTTTCTTTATTTTTTATTTTTAGCTGTACAGTAGGGACATAATATATTTTTTTAATTTAATATTTTTTTTAAACCGATAACAATTGTTGATAATTGTCAGGAAATTATTAATCCGTTAAACACATAGTATATAACTTGTGTGACTGTACAAAATATTTTTTTTTAAGTTATTTTTTTAACTATTTATTTATTTTAATTTTTTTTAGTTCTACTGTGGGGGTCTAGTATTCAATTGTTAATAATTTTTTACTGTATGTATTTATTTATTTACTTATTGAAGCCAACAACATTAGGTTGATAATTGTCAGTAAATGATTAATCCAATAGCTGCATCTCTAGCGTGAAACTTGTGTGATTGTTATACATAAATTATTTGAAGTACTATTTTTTAAGTTGAGCATACAATACATTTATTTATTTAGTTAGTTAGATAACTTTATTTTTAACCAATAACATTGGTTGATTCTTGTCAGGAAATGATTAATCCATTACATGCATCCCTAGTGTAAAACTTGTGTGACTGACATTTTTCAGAGTACTGATTCTTTTTTTTTAGTTCTACAATAGGGATGTAATTTATTAATTCATTCATTTTACTACAATAACATTGCATGATACTTGTCAGTAAATGATTAATCTGTTGGTACATACCTTGTGACTTTTTGCATTCTGAAATCTAATGATTGTTATAATTGTATTATAGGGGACGTATGCCACCGTTTTCAAGGGGCGGAGCAAACTGACGGACAACCTGGTAGCTCTGAAAGAGATCCGGTTGGAGCATGAGGAGGGCGCTCCATGCACAGCTATTAGAGAGGGTGAGGAATCTCTCTCTCTGTGTCTCTTTCTATTCATCTCTCCTCAAAACCCCTTTGAATGCCAAGATACTCATGTCTATAGTGCCCTGATTGACCCTGCCGTTTTCTCTCTCTCAGTGTCATTATTGAAGGATTTAAAGCACGCCAACATCGTCACGCTTCATGATATTGTCCACACGGACAAATCCCTCACTCTGGTCTTTGAGTATCTGGTAAGTGAACGTCTCATGCTGCTCCTCTCATTCTGATCCATTTGCTTCTTGCTCTATTTATTTATTTATTTGTTCTGTGATGGCTTCCTGCAGGATAAGGATCTGAAGCAGTACATGGACGATTGTGGAAACATCATGAGCATGCACAACGTTAAGGTCTGTCCCGTGTCTGTTTATTCTACACCAAATGGATTTAACAAAACATAAACGGTCGGTTTGTTGGTATTAGTGCAATGCAACACATGAAACATTCTTTCTGGTCTTCTAACCTGTACTCTAACCTGTGTGGTTCTAGATTTTCCTGTTCCAGATCTTGAGAGGACTGGCGTACTGCCACAGACGCAAGGTCCTGCACCGGGACCTGAAACCACAGAACCTGCTCATCAATGAGAGGGGTGAACTCAAACTGGCAGACTTTGGTATGTTTAGCACTATGCTGTCAAATAAATGATATTCAGAAAATATTCTGTTATATATTACACTATTGAGTGCTTTATTTACATGTGTGTGTGTGTATATATATGTGTGTGTATATATATATATATATATATATATTTTTTAGGCCTGGGCAAGTTAACACGTTATCGCGCATTAATTGATTAAAGCCGGCAATTATTTTATCGAGCATTAACGCAGTTTTTTATTATTATGAAAGTCCGTTGAAAACTCTCTCTGGCTCTGAAAACACATACAGACAAACCATGGGTCACAGGAGGGGTGGGATTTTGATCAGTACTGGCTTGGGATGGGCGTCATCACGCGTTTCAATAAAAATATATTTTAATTATACATGTATGTATTTACAAATTTATGTATTTTAAAATGTTATATAGTATGTACTTTATTTTTCATTAATTCATATAATTCATTAAATTTATGTACTAACTTTATTATAAATTTCAATTGTATACAATTAATTTTTATATGTATTTTAACAAATATAAAAAGTTACGTAATTTATTTTCCATTAAAAATACATTTTAATGTATTATAAATGTATTAATTTACAAATGTATTAATTAACTTTTATTTTATTCTACATATAAATACTAAGTGTAATATTTCAAATTTAGGCAAATTTTAATGTATATTTTGTGTACTTTATATGTTCTTTATGTATTTTTATATTATAATATTTATATATTCAACATTTTTATTTAATTTGATATCATATGTAATTTAATTTTCATTAAAAATACATTATAATATATTATGAATTTGATTTACAAATTTATTTCTTACAGATCTATCACTCTTGCCGCTCAAAAATGTTCATGCAATCACGCTGCACGTATCATAAGTTCCGCGCTCACACTCACTGATCTATATATAACTGATATCCGCGGCACGGAGCGATCACACTAGTCCAACGAACCGGGCTTTGGGGGTCAAACGCGCTCGGGCACGGTTAAGATTGCCTAGAGTGAGTACACCCTTATTCTCCCGCATCCCACACACACGAGTCTCGCCCATCAGGTGTTGTCCCGCTCTGCACTCTGTTGCGTTGGGTCCCGCGATAGTGCAGGTCTCTACTCGGAAGGCTCCTGTTATAATGTTATGATCGAGGCTCTGGACTCTGAGCATAACTTGTTTTTCTATAACAAACTATAAAATATTTTCTATAGAAACATTAATGTCCT